GAAGGAGAATACCATCTTGTGTATATATGTACGCACATGCTCAAAGTGATCAGTCGGCTCCTCCAGCTGTTTCTCTTCGGGACCACTGATCTTTCCAGCTGTTTTTTGTTTTTTTTTTGCTCTGTCCCAACTTTTTATAGACCTTTTATGTTAAAAAGCTCCAGTCTGAGATTAAACACCTGATACGGTTTGCATCTTTTATAAATACAGGTAAATACATGACCTTCATCATGGATCCTTTACTGTATCCCAACATCATCAAACAAGGCCGGCAGCTGGACTTTCACGAGTTCTCCAACAGGGTGGCATCATTTGCCTTTGGCTATCCACCTATTAGTAGCAAGTTCCCCGGCCTGAAGGAGCAGATCACACGCGGCTTCATTCTCCTCCAAGGGGATAACCTCACGCCCCTGACAGAGAGCATGATGGGTAACCTGATGCTGGTATTTCGTCAGGACTACCTGGACCAGGAGAGCAGCTGGAAGACCACCTACATGCACAAGTTCTGCAACTCGATCATGTTCGAGGCGACCTTTCTCACCATGTACGGCAAGCCGCCATCCGCCAGCCGCCACAGCGGGATGAGCGTCCTGGAGACGGACTTCATCAACTTTGACAAGATGTTTCCGCTCCTCGTCGCTCAGATACCCATCTGGCTGCTGGGACGAACTAGGGCGATCCGCGAGAGGCTCATCAACTACTTCCTGCCGCACCAGATGTCTTGCTGGTCACATTCTTCAGAGTTCATCAGGACACGATTCGAGATGTTTGAGCAGTATGACACGCTGAGGGATTTCGACAAAGCAGGTAGATAATTAGCTGCTGTGCAAACATGTTTCTGCTGTCCTACAGCCCAGACCTCGAGTGGCTCATGTGCAGCTGTGGTCGGAGGTTAACATCCACCCATCGTGGGCGTGAACTTGTCTTGGTCATTTCAAGTTTTGAATCACTTCTTTGAACGCTTCTAATAAATGTCCCTCAGCAAATCCCACCTTGACCAAATGCTTTTGGTTTCCATCATCAAGCTTCTACCAAGTTTGGCTCTATATGATGATGTTTATTTAATGGTAGAGTTCATCTAAATTGAACTGACTCGGCTTTTAAGCACAGTCCCAAATACTTAACGGGGGTTTTGTGGAGGCTGTTGCAGAAGCGTAATGTCAGCCTGCTTTATGTGTTTGCAGCTGCTGATGGATTTAGGCCTTTCTTCCCTCCCTGTGCAGTGTACCAGTGCCACTGGCAGCTCAACTGCCCACAATATAGACAATAATTGTTTTTGTGACCTGAGTGTAAATGCTGCGTGGAAGCTTTTTGTGGATGACATTCTGCATCCTGCTGACTTTCAGCTCATCACTTTGCCATCCTGTGGGCGTCTCTGGGGAACACGGTTCCTGCTATTTTCTGGGTCACGTATTACCTGGTGAGTCACCCTGAGGCGCTGCAGTTCGTCCGTCGGGAGCTCGAGGACGTCCTGAGACTCAGCGGGGTGGAATTCAGCAGAGATAAGGATGTGACGCTGACCCCAGCGCACCTGGAGAAACTTCTCTACATGGGTACGTGCACACAGAGATTCTGCATTCGTACACTTAGAGATGTGAACCTGAAGATCATTGACCCGACTGTCTCCACAGAGAGCGCCATCGAGGAGAGCCTCCGCCTGTGCTCGGCCTCCATGAACATCCGGGTGGCTCAGGAGGACTTCAGTCTGCGTCTGGATGCCGAGC